GTTTCAGCTGGGAACCGTGGCGGTGTGGGCGAGCACAGACTCAAGCCCAGGTGTCTAGCCGCTCCTGGAACACTGGCTCTCGCTAAAACCAAGGTTTTTATAAAACTATTCTACCCAGCAAAGAGAAAAGAGCTCCACCCTGGTTTTCCTTGCCCCTGCAGAACACCTTCCAGCGAATGCCTGGTTGGCCTCACACTTCTCTTTCTGACCCTAAAATTTGGACTTTTCCAGGACTCATTCTCTGTTTTGCCTCTGCATTAAATTCAATTGGTCTCATTGCTTTAAGTATGACTTGTAGATTCTCACCATAGTTCTTCAGCTCTGGGCTCTTATAGGCCACTCTCTTATGTCTTCACGGGGAGGTTTAGTAAGTACCCTGTTACGGTTGTGTCCAGAGGTCCCCCTAAAGCCTCATGCAGGGGAGGGGGCGTGATTTTCAGATGTGGCTGTATCTCGGGTGTGTGGTTCAGGGATCAAGAGTGTGTGACTAGTAAATCAGCCCACTGATTGGTTTGGCATAGTGCTGCCTAGGAGTAAGGGTGTGAGTGCTACACCTGCCCTAGGACGGGTAGCCTGCATACAGTATAAGGGACAGAAGAGGCTTGTCCTTCCCTCCCTTGTTGCTTTTGCTGACCTGTGGGCCAGATGAACTGTTCTCCTCTGTGATGGCCCTCGTCAGGCCACCCTGCCTTGGAGCCAGCTGATTGTGGACTGAAAACTCTACCAACTTTGAGCTAAATGAACCTTTCCTCCTTTAACTGTGGGTGCCAGGTATTTTGTCCCAGCTGAGGAAAGTAAGACACTCTCTAACTTCATACATCCCACACAGGCCTCTTGGCTTCCGCCCTGGATATTGCCTGTCTCTCTCCCCATTTTGGGGAGTGAAGGTCACATCAGCTGTTATTTAGGTCTCTGCCCAGTGGTCACTGCAGAGAATCCTCCCTGTCTGCCTCATCTGCCTTTTCCCCACTTCTTGGCTCTCCTGACTGCCCCAGGGTTCTATCTTGTGTGAGGTTGACTGAGGCGAACAGAGAATAAATAACAACAAAGCAGTTGAGCAAAGAACTTGTTGAAGATTTAGATTGGAAGAAAGACAGTAGTTAAGTTCTGAGGCTACTGAGGTTCCCTACATTGATTTTTTTTTAAAAAAAAAATCTAATTAACCACTCCTTAATTTAGGAATTTTCTTAAGTGAAGTTTGCCTTCAGAAACAGCTCAGGTAGTGTATGGGTCTTGAGAAAATATGTCCACATTTCAGCTTTTTTGGGTATAATAATAGTAGTTGTTGGTGAAAAGGCATTGGCTAAGGCTCAGTTTCTTTTTTCTTTTCTTCTTTTGAGACAGGGTCTAGCTCTGCAGTTCAGGATGGCCTTGAACTTGTTTATAAAGCCCAGGCTGCCTTTGAACTCCTTGCGTTTTTCCTGCCTCAGCCTCCTGAGTGCTTGGATTATAGGCTTGTGCCACCACACTCAGCGTAATACTTAATGATTATTAAATGTTTAAATAGATTGTCAAAGTGCAAGACGATGTTAATGCTTGGTGGCAGTCAACACCCTCCCGAAGTTGTCATCCTTTTTTACTTCTTTGACCACAAAAGTGATGGATTCAAAGAGGCCGCAACCCAGCTCCTGCTGTTCTCAGGCCCGGCCTTCTGTCTGGATGGAGGGGCGGAGAGGAGGCCTCTTTGGAGCTGACTTCTAAGCATTAATTTCTTCCACCAGGAGATCAGTAAATGACCTCTCCCACCTTCTGCCATCCAAATTTGGAATTTGGTTGCATCATTGATTTTCAGCTCCTATTGGACAGATTTTAAAATGTGCCTCAAGGAGAAAGGAAACATTTTATGTCTGGTTTTTGTCTGCAGGGAGACCTCACCGCATCCAAATTCGTAGCTGTCGTTTTCCTGCCTTGCAAATTGAGTCAAGGGGCCTTTTGCGCTTGTGAGACATTGGCTTGTTATTCTTTGCCCACTATGTAGGTTGTGAACCTGTAAAGTTTTAAAAACAAAATTCCACCCACTATAGCAAGATGACTAAAGAGACAAGAGTGCCATCTGCTGGCTGTATTGAAGAAGTGCAGGTTACTTGGACATGTCCAAACCTGAGGATGAAATTATTTAAAATGTGGTAACTTGGAGGAAAAAAATAAAAATATATAAAAAAAAAGTCAGAACTTTAGAGGTGAATATACTATTATATTTTGTGATAACTGTATAGTAATGAGAACTTATTTTTCTCTGCAGTGTAAGTTTGGAAATATGTTTATGGTTTTAGGTGTTACCATTTGACAGAAAGAATAAAAGATGAGTTGGAAAAATAGAATCTTTTCACTTTTTCAAGGCTACAGTTGACACGATTTTATATGTATTCTATTCAGGTTGAGGAGAGTAGGGCGTATATTGAAAAACAACAGGCTACAGCAGGTTGTCTGCATGAAGTCCCTGCTGACGCGGCTGCCAAGTAGCCGTGGGCCGTGGACTGCACTCTTAACTTCTAGACACCTTAGTCCCCCATACAACTGGGATTTACATGAAATGATGGTGAGAATTTCTTACAACCTGATAGGATTTATTATTATAAATCAGCAAAGGATTAAAGAAGAGCAATACTTTTGTAGGCCATTTCCCCGTGAAAATGTTTTAGAAAAAGTAAAAGTTCATACGTAGTTATAATTACAAAGTGAAGTAGTTTTATCCAGACTTGAGGATACTGGATGTGCTTGGTCCTTAGCCATTCGATCAATACTTCGTAGTCCTCAGAGCAAGAGTAAAAATAGATGCGGGGTTACCTTAAGTGACCAGTTAACTTACTGGTGAGACGTGGCCAGTTGAAGTAAGGTGAACTAATATGTATTACATGACTTTGAGTTCACAGTGCAACAGAGTAAGCTCTTTTTGAAAACCCAAACTTAGTTTAAACGTTGTTTCTCTTTGAAGGATTTCCTGCCTCTTCCCCCAGCCCCCTGGCCGGCTGCTCACTCTCTTGCCTTCTTGTTCTGCCCATCCTTCCCTGGCGGCCCCAAGAACGTGGTCTTCTCTTTCCACCCGCCTCCTTCTCCGGCCTTCTCTTGCCCTTCTTCATTCTCCCCATGTATCTTGTTTACATCCATCCCTTCCTTAGCCTGTGAGTCCCATTTTTTCATATTAACCTTGCTATGATCTCACTCGGTATTCCCTGGCCGAATGATTTAAATTTTAAGTGGCTATATCTTAAAGCCTTTCAAGTAGGTACATATTTAGGCTTTTTCATTTTCGCATGGATGGGATGAAGGTGAATAGGTCCTAGGAGCTACATTTTGGCACAGTCGGATGAAAAGGTAGGTTTTCCGCACCTTGTAAGTGTTGACAGCATGATGGAAAGGGGAACAACTAGAATTCAAGCTTAGCTCTTGTCCTCGGCAGCGGTGCTTCTGTGCTGTGCCGTGCTCCTGCCTTCCCTGGCTTAGAACCGTGCCTCTTACGGTGCTGTCAGAAGTAGTTCTCTCCTCCCAGACTTGGAGCGCGGTGATGCTTGCAGGGCTCCTGGCCAGCAGCTGCCATCAGTGCAGCACCTGCTGGAGGTGGCGGCGCAGCAGAGGTGGCTTTGCACCTCTCCTTTCTCTCTGTCATTTTAAATGCTGCAGTCTTTCTAACTGCACGGTAGGCACCAAATCACTGCTAAGGGATTGCACGTTCTGCTTCTCTTCCACTAATTTTTTCCGTGTGACTCAGTCCTCACCTCCCAACCTGTCTTTCCAACACGGGGACATGAAGGATTGCTTGGTTCGACACCTCTTCATCTTCCTTCACTTACAGTGAAGGTTCAAGCGTGGAAGCCCCTCGGTGCCCAGCTTCTGCTGTGCTGCGGGTTCTTCCTCTCTGCTTGTCCCTAAAGACAAGTCCAAGGATGTTGGTCCTACTCTCCGGGCTTGGAAAGACTTACCAAGTGAAAGATTTTGTTCTATTCTTCCCTTTCTGAGGTAACCAATGTTAACTTTCATTGTATTCTGTTCCTTCTTGCTTTAAATTGGTATTTGTCTAAGTATTTTCTGGAGCAGTGTTTAATGGACTGGTTTTAGGTTGTATTCACTCCCCATAGTGTTCCGGTTTACCTGTATCATCTGTTACAAGCTGGCACTCAGGATGGAGGGTAGGGTATGGGGCCAGATCTAGTGCCAGTCACATGTTGATTAACTTGGACACATTTCTAGAAGCGCTGGATCCCTTGCCATCACTTAAACATCTACACCTCTCTCATAAAAAGGCAGATTTCTGGCTTGTCTTTGAACCTTGGAAGATGTGGCAGGATGGAAACTATACTTGCCAGTTGGCAGCCAGTAACTAGAGGAGCTACAGAGTGGCTGCCCCAGTTGCATCCCGCCCCCCTCCGCCTGCCCTCCCGCCCCACCCCATCTGTCTTTTTTTTACAGCTGATCGCTTGACTCACTGCGTAACCAAGTGGCCTTTGTGGTGCTGAGTTTCTATTTTCATTATTATGTGCTTTCTCTTCCAGTTATACAAAAGATTTCAGTGGTGGTAACTTAATGTATAGTCAGTAGTGCATAGAAAGGAGAGACAATTTCAGCCATCATCAAGCGAAAGTCTGTCCTCTTGTATGGGTCTTGTTCAGGAGTGAGTGTTTAGTAAATGTTGACAAATGGTACCTGAGTCCTATTTCTGGGACTCAGCAGACAGGTGGGAAAGGACAGTGGTAAAGATCCTATACAAATTTCCCTGGCACCTCTAAGGAATATTGATGGTGGGTCAGGCTGTTTAGGAGGATTTTCAGTTCTCCCCTGAAAGCAAGGCTCCCTTGTAATCTGATTTGTCTCTCTTTTCCAGGCCCACTCTTCATAAATCAAACTCTGAAGACAGCTCTGTAGGTCAGTACCACTTTTCCTTGTTTAACTATTTGTTTTCTTTTCATACTTCATAGCAAACATAAACGTGCAAAACGATAGGAACTGCCAAGAATCCTTCTACCCAGAAATTAAAAGACCCTGTTAAGATTTGAATGCACAGCTTTCTCTCTTTCTCTCCACTGCACAGGGGTGTTTTTTTAAAATATACATATAAATGGGATCATAGTCTATGTACTACTTCAGTTTCAGACATTGGTTATGTTATGAGCATTTTCCCACATGATTAAATATTCTTTACAGCAAAAGATCTGAAAAAATATGTATTTGTCAAAGAGGAGAAAAAGGTTTTGAATCTGCATCATGTAAAATGGACCACAGTTTAATTGACTTTTTTTTTCTTTAAGGCATTTCCATTTATTCTCCTATCACCAGCAAACATCATGGCTGTAAAAGGCTTTAGTCTGTAACCCCGATAACGTCCTCCGGGTAGATCCTTCACCTTGGAATTTTTTGATCAAAGAGTGTGCATTTATATGTTTTATATGTCTTTGATTGTAAAATCCACTTGTGATTTAGGGAGGTCAGAGCAAATGGAGATCATAGCCGCTAGGAGCCTAAGTCCTCAAACCAGGCTGTCTGTGTTTGAGTCTGGACTCTCACGGCTTGGCTGTGACCCTGAGCAAGTTGCTTGCTCTCCCAGCCTGGCTTTCTCATCTTCTAACTGCGCCCCACAACGTAGCCTGTGAGTTTTAAATGCTATGTGCTGTTATTCTCCATTTTAAAAATGTTAATATGGAATAAGGAGAAAATAGTTTACAGTCAAAGAAGTACACGTGGTTGTGAACCCAGCAGTATTAAGGCTGCAGTGTGGCGCTTTCTTGGGCCTCCCGAGAGAGAGAATAATCCCTACGGCTGAGGCTTTCCTGTTCAGTGAAGCTCTTGAAAAGCGTTCTGTGCCAGCGGTAATGGCACACACCAGCAATCCCAGCTCCTCGGGAGGCTGAAGCAGAAGGATTGCAAATTCAAGGCCATCCTGGGCAACTTAGTGAGGCTCTGTCAGGAAGGGGACAAGGAAGGAACGGAGGGAAGGAGAGGGAGGGAGGGAGAAGAGAGGAAAGGAGGAGGGAAGGAGAAAGAAAGAAGGAAAGAGAGAAAGAAAAAAGGGCCGGAGAGTGTAGCTCAGTGGTTGAGCACTTTCATAGCATGCCCAAGGCCCTGGGTCCCATCCCTAGTACCACACACACAAAGAGTGGAGGAGGAGGAAACTATATTCCCAAATTAACCGAGGAAAGGTCTGCTTTAACCCTTGCTGGCTGACGTTTTCGTGTTAGCCGAAGGGCAGCAGACACGGAAAGTTGCCTTCAAGATTTGAATATGTAGACATCTCAGGCCAAGGCTCCAGTTTCATTCCCATGGCGCTAGCAGTTGTCAGGACCTAAATGAGGGCATCCTGTTTTGACAAATGACACCCTTGCTAGCCTGGGAGCACCGCAGGCGGCGTTCCCACATGTCTGCGCCCTGCACCAGGGCCCAGCAGCACCAGTCTAGACTGTGCACACCCGCCACTTTGCTGGCCCCATTTCCAGTGGCTGGGGAGCCACCAGACAGACACCAAGCAGTGACAAAACCTCTGCTCCAAGTGTGCTCCGTCAAGCACCAAGGAAGTTGTCACCACTGCCACCACTGCCTTTTGCTTATTTTTTCTTTTTTTTGAAGAACAACTTGTCCCCATTCCTTGCCCTTTTGCTTTTTACTGATGTTGTGTATTATTGGTGATCACAACTTCACTGAATGTTAAAAATGTCTGCCTATGGCAAGGAATTTGTTTTCACCCACAAGTCACTCAGAATAGTCTGGTAAGTTAGAGAGGTTGGGTTGGGAGATAACGCAGCAGGACTGAAGTCTTCCTGTCGCTGTGCCCTGGCTTATCTCAGGTCACCAAGTAGCCTGAACGCCAGAGAGCCGAGAATCACGGCCCACCCGTGCTGTAGCTAGATGTGGAGAAGCAGGAGGACCAGCCCTGCCCTGGGCTCCTGGAATCAGCTCTTGACCACTGGGTTCATGGGATACCAACCATTCTGCTGTCTTCTTGAAATCTGGAGCAGCAGAAATAAATCAAGGGAAGGTTGACAAACAGCAATAACAACAACACAAAGTTAACTTCTTCCTTCTTCAAGTTTTCTATTTGTGATATAGTGGGAATAATTATGTCTGAGACCAAAGGGGGTGAAATACACCACAAGACAAGGCAGAGGGGGGCTTGCTGGTTAAACAGACATCAAAGTAAATACCGCAGTGCATGCTTTCCCTGCCCTTTTGCTGTTTCTTTATTTTCTTCTTAACCCTACTGTACAATTTGTTGCTCCTAGGAAATTTGCATTTCTTTTAAACAACTTTATAGGCATTTCCCTGTCTTTCACAAACTGAAAGAGAAAAACTCTTTTTTGTGACATCACAGTGTTCTTTGAAGCTTTGCAGTTATAAGGAAGAGGCTACTTTTGTTATCAATGAATTTATTGCTTGTGCCTTTTCTCCTCTTTTTTTTTTTTTTTAAAGGAAAAGGAGATTGGAAGAAGAAAAATAAGTATTTCTGGCAGAACTTCCGAAAGAACCAAAAAGGAATAATGAGACAGACTTCAAAAGGTACTGTGATGCCGCCGGTGGACAGTGGATCCTTTTAAAGCTCTAAAACGCTGTAAAGCCTGTTTGCAAATCTGACTGGATGTTGGAAATTAGAGGAATGCATTGCCCGTGCCTAGAAAACGGTCCTCTCTCTGACCTTCTTCTTGTCCCTTTAAGACTTTATCCTGGTCATTTTCATTTAGCTCACAATGGAGCGGGGAGAGTTAGCTGTGCTGTTTTCTTCGCAGATCTGACAGCAGAGACCAAGTCCCTGGTGTTCTTCCTCACATCAGCCTCAGAAACATCTTCCCTCTTTTTTTTTTTTTGGTTTTTCTCCAGTATTGGGAACTGAACTCACGACCTTGCACATGCCAGGCAGGCGCTTTTTGCCACTGAGCTAAATCCCCAGCCCCATCTTTCCTCTTAACTGCATCAAGTCCTATCCTCAAAGAGCCAAGGCCGTCTTAGCATTTAGTTTTGGACCTTTCTGTCCACACTCCGAAGCAGGGCCTTCGTGCTCTTCTGGGTTTCTGATGCTGTTCTGCGGCAGGGACAGTTATGGGCTGGTTACCCCTGGAAACTTGAATGATCTGACATCATGGGAATTTGCCCAGCTGCTTTGTGCAGGGAGGGCCAGCCCTACTCTGGGCTATGTCCTTTGTTGTTGTTTATATAGTAAGTAAATATGTCATCCCTTTGAGGCTGGTTATGTAATTTATGTTTCCCCAGTATTCACAGAGGAAACCAGAACAAATCCACTTCCACATTCCAGTCTGGCCAAGTAAGGTTATCAATTGATGAAAATTTTTCATTGCTTACCCACAGTGCACTTTGTTTCCCTTTACAAAATCGTATGTGCTGCCGTGTCCTCCTACACCCAGAGAAAGTGGCTGTGGACCTCAGATGCCCCTGCTGCGTGCCTGGCTTCTTGGGCAACGCTCAAGCATTTTCAAAACTGTCTAACTTTAAAGGAGTTATTCTTAAACACCCCCAGCTTTTCCCTTGGGTACACACCCAGGGTCATTTGTGATTCAGAATAAAGCTTGTATTCTAAAATTCTTGTTTAGAAAGCAAGCTCTGGAGAAAGAGAGAAGTAAAGAGATAGGAAGACAGCAAAGGAAGGAGGAAGCCGAGAGTTCACCAGCTCATGTGGGTTAGTTAGAAAACCAGCCAGCGTGGCATCATTCTCTTCACCATCAGGAGCAGTAGGGGTAGCCCTTCCTCCTGTGCAAGTGGTGAGAGTTGGAAGGAACGGAAGAGCCATTTCTGGACTGAGTGATTCCAAGGTGGAAATGAGCTAGGAAAGCATAGGGCCATAAATTCCAAAGCTGGCCTCGCCTGCAGTGGGCTCGTGCAAGGCAGCAGCAAGACTCCCTTGCTTGGTACCTCTTCACCAAGAGTGACACAAGCCAGGGCTCATAGTCTGCTAGCAGCAGGAGCAAGAGAGCTGCATTTGCGAAAGGCCATCAGAGGAGAAGATAAAGGGCTGGAATGTGGGCTTCTGTCCATCTGTGGGTTAGCCCACTCCTAACATCTTTACTGATGTGCTGGTCACTGTGGCTCCAGAATATGAGAGGTGCCTGCAGCTTGTGCCTTGGAAGGACCCTAACGTGAGCTTCTCTTTGCCTCTGCAGTTCTGGCTACCTTCTGTTTGGAGTTGGAAGTTGATTTTCTCTCATAGTTTCAAGCCCTATTTGCGACGCTAATACTTCCAGATGTAAACAGCCGTAGCCCCTTTCTTCCGATGTGCTCAGCATGCCTCACATCTGTGATTTTATTTATTGTAACTTATCCTGAGAGGAACACAGCCAGATAGCTTAGGAGAACGGAGAATTTTACTGAGCTGCAAGATGTGGCTCCGTGAGGTGACCTTCCTCTCCCATGGCAGAGGGTTTGCTCCCACTCCTCACAAATATGTGACCCATGCATTCATACTTCGCATGGAAGGATACAGAGAATTCTCAGCAAAGGGAGCTGTGGTGAGCTTGCTGAGCCTCTTTGGGTGTTTGAATTAGATCGCTACCCCTTCTCCACCAAGGAGCTCCCCCCAGCTGTCTTGCCAGAGTAGACACTACTTCTCAGAGTTTCAGGTCATTTTGAAGAATTTGCCGCTGTTGTAACATCCACCTCTTCCTGGAGTTTGTCTCCCGGAAAGAGGTGTGCGGTGAAAAGCATGTGTGTTTCTGCCCTCTCTGGCTCCGCCAGTAAGGTACAGTGTAGACAGCGCCCCAGGAAGCAGCCTTCCCTTACCTAGGAGGGTAGACTTCTGGAACAGGGCGTCACCCTGATCTCTCTGGTTTTCATTCCTGTTGCTCTCTGTCTTCAATCTCCAGGAGAAGATGTCGGTTACGTCGCCAGTGAGATAACAATGAGTGACGAGGAGCGGATTCAGCTAATGATGATGGTCAAAGAGAAGATGATCACCATCGAAGAAGCACTGGCTAGGGTAAGAGGGCCGATACTTGGTTTCCATTTGGGACTACTTGGCTTCCTTACATTTAATCATGTTTGAGGGCATCAAAGGGTGGAGGTCCCACTCCACCCAACCCTCGTACCTCTGCTGGGAGTGGAACCCAGGGCCTGGAGTGTGCTAAGCAAGTACTCTGCCCCTCAGCCACATCACAGTCCCAAAGAAGTATTTCAATGAGATTTCATGGTCATGAGGTACCACAATTTTCCAGGTAAAATATTTACTCTATTCTGTTTACTCGATACACGCATCGCATCTTGTGAGGTAAAATTTCTATGTTCAGTAAATACATGAGTGAATGAATGACAGGTATTTTTATTATTTATTTATATTTATTTATTTATTTTTATTGGTACTGGGAGTCAAACTCAGGACCTTGTGCTTGCCAGGCAAGCACTTGTGCCACTGAGCTATATCCCTGGCAGACAGGTATTTTTGAACAGTGGGCCCCTTTAAGGAGGGAAATGACCCTCTGATTGTCATTGGAAAATTCACAAGCCATTTGAAAAGGGTTAGGAATATAACTAATGGTTAAACAAAAAAGTCAGTGATTAAATATAAACATCAATTCTAAAATGTCAAGGTTAAGCAAGTTTCAAGTATATGTTAAGATTTTACTTACTTTCATATCTAAGTAAATACTAAATTAGGCACTAGCAGATGCCTAATTAACCTTTAGGAAACTGGAGTACCATAAATAGTAGTACTACTTATGATAGTGAGGTAGTAATTAAAACATTTTCTGCCTATTGTTGACCAATCAACTGATTGATTCTTGATTTTCACTTTGAACACTGGGTTCTGTACCACACAGACAAGTTATAAGAAGGTGGGGTGAGAAACGAAAGAAGACCTCCAAACTATTGAACGAGTTATGACTTTACCCTTGTCTGATTGTGTGCTGCTACAACAGAGTGCCCCAGACTGGGTAATTTATAAAGATGAGAAATGTACTGGCTTATAGTTTTGGAGGCTGGGAAATCCAAGGTCAAAATGCTGACCTTGGACCTGGTGACAGGGAGGCTATGCTCGTACTCAAGATGGCACCTTTGCACACCTTGTCCTCTGGAGGGGAGGAAGATTAGACGCTTGCCTGGTAGAAGGTGGAAGCCCCAAGAGGGAGAGGGAGGCTGAACTCACCCTTTTATGAATTCCTCTCACTGGCAGAGCCCTGTTCTCCACCAAGCCCCAAGTTCCACCTCCTGACTCCACCATAACAGCGGGCGTACTCCACCATGACTTGGAGGGGTAAATATTCAAAGCCCAGCAGCCGCTAGGTGGAATCTTAAAGATCTCAGACCTCGAAATGGTGACAAGCTTATACCCTTTAGTTAGTGTCCCCTTTGTTGCTGTGACAGTGTTACAAGAAAAAGCAACATTTGTGAGTGGAGAATGGGCTGGGCTTAGTAAAGCTAGAGCTGGGGCCAGTGTGGGACACCCATGTACTGGCTTCTGTCCCTCTGTGGGTACAGAGGAGTGGTGTTGATTGACCCTGACCGCCAGAGCCCTTGAGCAGACTGAAGTGGTGGCAGAGGCTCGGTTGTTCTTGCTGGGCTTGCTGCAAATAGTCAGTAAGCACTGAGGTGGGTGGGGGAGCAGGTGACAGGTGACAACCTCAGGTCCCTTCCGCTTATCACCTGGACCTTTATCCTTTGCCTGGTCTGTCTGCTTCCCACGCCTTTGACCACCTGGCACAGCTGCTAGTGGAGCAAAACGTCTGTCTTACATTTCTCTCTGGTTCCACTCCTTGGGCATGACTTGGCCATGCTGTGCATTTGGGAAAAGTCCAGCTGAATTCCTGGAAAATGCATATGAGAAGCGTGGGCCTGTATATAGTTTCTCTATGGTGAACAAGAGGTTTATTACCTCCTGGGGAGTGGCACTGCTGCACTGCTTTTTAATAGCAAAACTAAAGAACTGTTTGAAGATGTCCACAGTCAGGGCATGGCGTCTGTGTTTGGGGACTGGCAGTTTTCTTGAAGCAAGAGAAAATGTTTAATTTTCTGGGCTTTAGTAAAGCCCAGTTTAGACAGTGTATTTCTTTTTCTTGCCTTTCCTTTTCAGTACTGGGGATTGAACTTAGGGCCTGGTACATGCCAGCCAAGAGTTTTACCACAGAGTGAAATCCCCAGCACACACTTCCCACCTAATCCCTTTTAGAGATAGTCATACTAAGTGCCCACACTGACTTTGAACTTGGAACCCTCCTGTCTCAGCCTTTTGAATATTTGAGATTGCAAGTGTGCCGCTACATCCCCTAGCACCTGTTTCTTAGCAGAAACAAAGGAATACTCAAACTTGGGAAAGCAGTGGAGAAAATAGTTTGTGTGAGTAATTTTCACAGCCAGCAATGGCTTCCACAGAGAAGAAATCAGAAGTCCTCTCAGTGCGACAGTGGTGCAGCTCATGCAGGTGTGCCTGGCTGTGTTCACCCTGTACCTGGCTGCTGCTAGGGTGGCAGCCTTGGCCCAGCTTCAGTGCAGCCACTGAGCTCACAGAGACATCAGGGATATTGTCTGTAAGGCCAGCCTGGAATGCAGATGCTCAGGAGATTAAAAAATAGTGACAGTCTGCATCGTTTACTGAATTCTGCAGACAAGCCTGGGTGCCCCTAATAGGTGACAAAGTAGCAGGGATGCTTATTCAATTGCTCTTCTCCAGGCAACAAACCTCCATGACTGGTGTCTAAATGGAACTCTTGTTAGCCGGAGACGAAACACTTCAAGAAAATGTGATCTAGAACAGGAAGCAGTGTGCAGGGAGGATCTGCTTCCTTGAACTTGTGACCAGTTCAGGGCTCTAAATTTGCTTGATCGCTGTATAAGACAGACCTCCAGACCATGGTGAGACCCTTCAGATTGAGAAGAAGTGTACCATTCCTCCAGGACAGCGGCTGCGCATGCCTTCCAGTCTGCTGGGCTGCACTCCGGATGGATGCATACACTGAACTCGTCAGGAGAGGAGTTTGCCCGAATGCCATTAGGAGCCAGTGTTCAAACCAGGACAGTTTAGTCCACTGCTCTTCGTTGGTGTGGATTTGATCTCATGAATAGTTATTTCCCCACTCTCAATTATATAACCATGGTTCACACCCCTGAAAACCCAGTTACCCAGACACGAGTGAAGATCAAAGTGAGAGAGGCTGCAGGGAACTCACATGTGAAACAACACTGTAAACTGGGAAAGCACTGGAAGAGGTGGGAGTTTCAGAGCTGCTCTCAGCGTACTGTCCTTTGAATGCACGATTTACAAAGAGAGTCAATTTATAATTTTTTGCATTTCGTTAATGGAACAGTTCCATCCAATCTAAAGGTATTTCAAACTTTCTCTAATAGTTTTATGATGGTTACGGTGTAGGTCTGCCTTCCTGTTGGTGGGACAAGTGTCTGCATACAGCTTAAAGGAGGAAGTCGTGTATTTGGCTCATGGGTTTCAGAGGTTCCTCTCAGTGGTCTGTTGGTATGGGCCTGAGGTGAGCAGAACGTCGTAGCCAAGGTGTTCACTACATGACGAGCAGGAAGCCAGAGAGGAAGAGGTTAGGGACCAGATAGAGTCCCATGGTCACGTACGTCCTGATGCCAGTTCTCCCAGCGAGGCCCTGCTTCCTTACTGCCCATTCAGCGATGAGGGCCTTCGCAGCCCAGCCACGTCTCCGCATCTGGGCACTGATAGATACTTACTGCTTGTGCTCTAAGGCAGGCAGGCGCATTAGTTAAAAAACAAAACAAAACAAAAAACTGTTGAGGGAGATCTAGGCAGTCCATAGGTTCTGAATGACAACAGCTTCCAGGTGGATATAACTTTAAAGGCACACATAGCTCTTCGGGGCATTAGAATCTTGTATTAGTTCTCAAGGGTATAGAAAGCCCAGTGAGGAACTGGAATTTAGAAGTTATTTATTTACCTGGGTAATTTGTGTAGGGTGTGAGGATAGGAGAGAAGGGAAGAAACTCATGTTTGCAGCCTTGGAATAATAATCATAATCATAATCATAATCATAGTAATAATAATAACACTGTTAAGCCAGGCCTGGCCTATAATCATGGTTACTTGGGAGGGGAAGGCAGGAGGAGTTCAAGTTCGAGGCCAGCCTAGGCAACACATTTTAAAACAAAACAAAACAAAAGAAAACCAAACCTGTTGTTTGGGAATGATAGTATGTAGAGAAGATGAAACTGTGTCCTTTGAAATTGTTACTGGAAGAACTAAAGGAAAGTGAAGCCAGGCTTGGTGGCACACACCTATAATCCCAGCACTCCAGAGGCTGAGGCAGGAGGATTGCTGCCAGGTCAAGGCCAGCTTGGGCTACAAAGTGAGCTCAAGGCCTGCCAGAATTGCATAGTGAGACATTGTCTCAAAAAGACAAAAAGAAAAAAAAAAAAAAGGAAAAGAAAAGGGAGAGTGATCTGTGACTATGATACAATTTCATTTCTTTAAAAATCTAAATCTGAGTACTAAAGACTGCTTATATAACATGTCCTAATTACTGAATATTCTAAATTTATCTACATCATAGGTATGTATTTGATTCTACAAGGCTGCATCTGTGTAAAGTCAAAATACAGCCCTTAGGACATTAAAACATTAAGTCTAGTCATGACTTTCTAGTTAGGGATTTGTATCTTTTTTTCATTAAAGATGAAACTTATCCGGTGGCTCCTAGTAGTTGGAGCTAAGGTGGAGTATAAAATTAGAGCAGAGACCTAGAGAAACTCTGATAATCCCATGCTAATCCCACTTTCTATCTGGCAGCTGTTCCTGATTGCACAGGGAGAACATAGCATTTCTGAAACCATATATCCAGATGGAGAGAGCACTTTGGTATATAACATAAGTGGACTATAAAGATTAGGGCAATAAAATATCCCTAATGTATGAGGAAGATTAAAATGGTTAGTGTCCCGAGCAGAAAACACATGGAATTACTGGGAAAGCAGAACTTTCTTGTATCTGAAGTCACAAGGGTGGAACAGTAGCGCTGTCCTGGTAACTGTTACGTAGACCCGGTGTGCTGAGAGTTTCCCTGCATTGTCTTGCTTAATTCTGGCAGTGAGCCTCAAAGATTTATTACCAACCCTCTTTTCTAGCAGGGGGACCTGAGACACAGAGGGGTGAAGTGATGGCCCCCGGGTTCGATACCTGTATGTAAGCTCTTGTGCAGTGACTGGCACTGCTCACCTTTCCCACACAGATATGCGGGAAGCATTTCCCAGGTGGAAGAGCACTTGGGAAAGATGCTTTCTTCTGGAGGGACCGTGGTCAGCGCAGCGTCTTCACTGAAAACCATCCTGACTCTCTCACAGGGGCCAGGTCGGACCATTCTACGTACCTTGTTGGGCTCATTGGCCATGATTAGACCAGTGGATTAAATTCATATCTAAAAACCCTTACCCAATACAATTTGAATGCAGTCACAATTTAATTGATTAAGAAGCAGAGTGCAGTTTCTCTGTTTTACACATGCACACCTGGAACTTCTCAGGTATGCCATTCTGAAAGAGCCGCAGTCTGATTTGGCTAAGTTAAATTTGCTCATTTCTCTGTAGCATTTCACTTGCTTTTCTGTATTTTAAAAAACAGAAACTTAATTTCTACACCCAAACTTTAGCGACCTCTGATGACACTCAGCTGCCTCGTTTCCCCCCTGTGCCCACGGGCTCCCAATGAACCCTCTGACCTTTGTGAGGTGGTGACCTTGAAGCAGGAACTGGAAGCCATCCTGAGTAAGAAAAGCAGGTGGCTTCTTACAAGTCTCCGTTCCCGGCCACTGGGATGTCTGCAGTCTCCCCCTTGTTTCCTCCAGAAAAGAGAGTGTACATTTTTCAGTTACAAAGTAATGATTTTGAGGCCAGGCTACTGACAGTTTCTATTTTGAAATTTGTAATTGCACTGAAAAAGGGTGAGTTTTGATGGTGGCAGACATTGGAGGGAAAAAAATCAAGGTTCTTTGTGGAATACGGGGTACAAAGAGCGCCCTGTGTGTGTGGGTTTGATGTAGATGAAACCCGCAGGGCAGGCTATTATCCCTGTGGATCTGAAAGACCTGTCTCCGGCTGGCCCTTCGTCACCAGCACTGGACGAAGGTGCCCAAATGGTCTCTGCTGGGTGGAGAGAGCGTTGGGCCATTCTTCCCTTTGAGTCTTCCCTTTCTTTTGCTGCAGCTCAAGGAATATGAGGCCCAGCACCGGCAGACAGCTGCCCTGGACCCCGCCGACTGGCCAGATGGTTCCTACCCGACTTTTGATGGCTCATCCACCTGCAATGTGAGTTTGCTGTCTCTGAGCAGCTTGAGCCGCTCTGCTGAGCGGGGACAGCCTGTGTCCTTTCTGTTACTTCCAGCTCTCCCCTGGGTTGGCAAAGAGGCATCTTTTGTGAGAGGTTTCTTTACCTGATGGAGACTCCTGTGCAGTCAGAATCGTGCTCTTCATGCTAGGGTATTTTGTTTTTTTGTTTTTTCATTGTGGTTAAGTATATATAATAGAAAAACTACCATATTAATGACCTTTCAGTGTTCAGTTTCATCACGCATGTTCCCACTGTGTGCGACCAGTCAGTAATCCACCACTTCTAGAAGCTTCTCATCATTCCAAACACACTGTACCCATTAAAGAACAGCTCCAGCTCCCCAATCGCCCCCGTCTCTGGCCCCTGCTACCATTCTATTTTGTGTCTATGAATCTGACTATTCTGGGTACATTACAGGAGTAAAATCATTCAGCAGTTGTCCTTTGTCTGCTCTGTATGTGAGCCATGGTAATGTTTTCAAGGTTCATTCATGCTGCAGCATGTATCAGAACCTTGTTCCTTTTGTATGATTGTATAATATTCCACTCTGTGTATGTCCTACATTTTGTTTATTCATTCATCTGTTCATACACACTTGGATGCTTCCACCATTTACTTTTGTGGACAGTACTGCTATGAACATTAGTGTACAAGCATCTTATTGAGTCCTTGCTTTCATTTTGCTTGGGTTATATGTGGGGCTAAATTTATGATTCACGTGGTAATTCTACTTCTGTTTGAGGAACTGCTGTACATTTTCTATAGTAGCTGTACCACTTTCTGTTTCTTCCAGCAATCTGTAAACATTAAAAACTCTCTGCTTGTTCACCAATAATTTTTATTTTCTCTGTTTTAAAAACAGTTTCCTAATGGCTGTGATAATTAAAGATGGGATTCGAGTAGACAATTTACCAAAGACTTAAGAGCTGCCAATATGCACGTGAAAAGATGTTTAACATCTTTAATTATCACAGCCATTAGGAAACTGTTTTTAAAACAGAGAAAATAAAAATTATTGGTGACGTGCATATTGGCAGCTCTTAAGTCTTTGGTAAATTGTCTACTCGAATCCTTTCCCCGTTCTTGAATTGTGTTTTTGTTTTGTTGTTGTTGTTGGGTTGAAGGGGCTCCTTATATAATGTAGATATTACTCTTTTATCATGTGTGTGATGTGTAAATATTCACCTCCATTCTTGATAGTGTCTTTGATGTACACAACTTTCAAATTTTGAAATCCAGTTTACCTTGGTTGTTGTTACTTTTGTTTCTGGTGTCATATCCAAGAAATCATTGCTGAAAGTAATATGATGAAGACGTCACTCTGTTTTCTTCTAATTGTTTCATGGTTTAGGTCTTTGACTCAATTTGAGTTGGGTTTATATTTGATGTTATTTCATTTTTCTGTTTGTTTTCCTCAAACCATTTGTAGAAAAGGCTGTCCTTTATCCCACTGAGTGGTCTTAGCCCTTTTTTGTTTATGTGATTTTGTTTCTTAGTGGTACCTGGTCTTGAAACCAGGGGCATTCTACCACTGAGCTACACCAAGAACACCTCCCATCCCCTACAGGGTCTTACCATGTTGCCCAGGCTGGCCCTGGACTTGTGATCCTACTGCCTCATTCTCTTTTTTTTTTTTTTTTTTTTTTTTTTTTTTTGGTTTTTCTCCGGTACCGGGAACCGATGCCTCATTCTCTTGAGTAGCTGAGATTATAGATGTATGTCATGACCCTTGGAGTTGGCACCACTTTTGAAAAATTGACTATATATATAAGAATTTATTCCTGGGCTATTTTATTACATTGACCTATACTGACCTATATGTATGTCCTTTTGCTAGTGTTATCGTTTGGTGTCCCCCCAAAGCCACATGCAGTCATGGGGTGGGCTTTTAGAATATATGATTGATTCATGGTCCATTGTTGAAATTACGGGTGTGAGTGCTACACCCGCCCTGGGGTGGATAGTTTGCATACAGTGTAAGGGAGGGAATGAGGCTATTTGCCACCAATCCACCCCTTGTGCTGTTGTTGCTTTTGCTATCTTCTTGGCCTCTGCCATGTGCCACCCTAACTTGGAGCCAGCCAAGTATGGACTGAAGCCTCCACAAACTGTAAGCTAAATGAACCTTTCCTTCCTTAATTCTGGGTGTGCAGTGTTTTGTCTCAGCAAGGACTGAAAAGTAACTGAGACAGCTAGTATCATACTGTCTTGATTACTGTAGCTTTGTAGTTAGTTTTAAAACTTTGAAGTATGAGATCTCCAAAGCCCTAATTCAATCCTAGTAACACACACACACCACACACACACACACACACACACACACACACACACACACAGTTTTATCTATTTGGTATCACTTGAGATTCTATGTGTGTCAGGATGGGTTATACTATTTCTTCAGAAAGTGCCATGGAGATTTTGACAGAAATTGCATTAAGTCTATAGAAAGATTTGAGTATTACCGTCATGTGAGGAATATAGTTTTATCTGTGAACATGGGATTTCTTGCTATTTATTTATGCTTCTATAAATCTTTTACCATAATGCTTGCAGTTTGCAATTTGTAAGTCTTGCTTCAATAGTTAAATTTATTCCCGAGATTTTAAAATTCCTTTTGATGCTTTCAGTGGAAATATTTTATTTTCTTTTTTAGATTGTTTATTGCTAGCGTATAAAAATGCAACTAATTTTCATTGTGTTGGTTTTGTATCCTGTAACCTTGCTGAATTTATTAGCTCTAAGAATGTGTGTATGCATATGCGTGTGCAATCTTAGGATGTTTTACACATAAGATCATGTCATCTGCAGAAAAGAGATAATTAGACATCTTCCGTTTCAATTTGGGTGCCTTTTATTATTCACGCTGTTTTAATGTGTTCAAAACAGTGCTTTTTGAACTAGGAGTTTCACAGGGATTATAGGAATTAAAACTGAATATTTTCAGATAGACGTTATGTGCTACCATCGTTAAACTAGTCAGAGAAGGAATGGAAAGAATTATCGTTTTCTTAAATGTAGAATGTAGTGTGTACTTGTTTTGTGCTGTTTGTTAGATTATCTCTTCCTTAAAATTTGGAAGCTCCTTTACCTCTGTGTCTTCAGCTTTTGCCCATGCCCCGTACGGCCAGGGATCTTTCTAAATCATACCTCTTTTCTTGAGATTCTGGGTTTTAAAAAACCTCATGGTTCCCATTTCTATAAGATAAATTCCAAACTTCTTGGCATGCTCGTGGCCTTATGTGCTCTGGCTTTATTCATATTCTCTGACCTCATCTGTCATTCCCACACCCAGTACCCTCTATCACATTGGACCTCGCATGCATTTCTGAACAAACCTTGTATTTTCTTACTTCTGTGCCTTAGCTCAAGTATTTTCCTCTACCTCAAATGTACCTTTCAAATTTTTCTTAGTGAAAATCTATGCATCCTTCAGGGTGAGAGCTCAACTCTTAACTTCCTCTATCAAACTGTTTCTTAGCTCAGTAAGCGTATTTATGGTTTCCTACTCTGTGTTTGTTAATCTGTATTTACATTCTTCAACCCTTCCTCCAGAGTATCAGAAGTAATTGTACGTATTTCACCCTCCTTGGAAAGAGCAAGTTCCTAGAGCAGGACAGGTATGATGTGCTCTTTGTCCCTTGGGTGATCACCTAGCCTGGTGTCCGGCTCACACTGAAATGTTCAATAAACAAAGTTGTATTTAAACCTTCATCCTTTCTGGCTGCTTTAAAAGCATATTTCATGCCTTGCTGCTACAGATTGGGCCTTTACTATTCTTTGCATCTAAGCAACAAATGGCAGCTTATCAGAAGTAAATAGAACCTGTTTCTTTTCCCTGATTTCCTGAAACAAACACCGGATTTCCATTGCAGTGAAGGATTATGAATCTTGAGAGTGCTGCCTGGTTTGCTTTTGTGTGAAAGAGACTGAGACATTACCATTTATAATAATAAATGTGTCATAGGCTAGCCACCCTGCACCCTGGGACCGTGAGGTAATGAAAAGAGCCACAGCCATGTTTTTCAATGTGCCTTTTTGGGTCTCTTATCCTAAGTCCTAAAAGTAACATAATAAAAATGTAAATCATGAACCTAAAGAATCATGAAGAATATGGTGACTCGGGACTGATGTGATTCAAACCCAACTTGGATGAGAAAACAAAGGCCCGGTTGTCCATAGTGAGCCTTTGGATATCAGAGCCGCTGCATGCCGTCCTGATTAATAGCATATGATTCAAGAGAGAGGTTGTAAGACTTTGTCCTTACAGTGAAATGGGAGTGTAGTAAAACCTCACACACTCAGACTGCAAGGAGAAGCGCTCGTCTCATTTAGAACGTATAATATGTGTTGTGTACTGTTGGCATTTTGTACAAGCTGCTAAAAAAGCATTAAGCTTCGGTTTGTTGTCTTTACTCAGAGGCTTGATCAGAGCAGTCACCCAGCTGTGAATTACCAGAGTGAAATTGGTTCTTCTTAAGGACCGCACATTTTATCCTCTTGACCATTTCTGTGTTCGTTGATTTGGGAGACGTTTGTGGGGCCCTTCCTATGTAGTGGGCATCATGCTAGGTGTTGAGGTTACAAAGTGAAGAAGGGGGAGCCTTTCCTGCCTGCACGTTGGTGCAGAAGTTAAAATTACACCCACTGTGCATACACAGGTTCAAGGTGCCATGTACACGTTTCCGTTACTAACTTCATACCAAATCCTCTCTTTACAGATGGCTGGAAAATAAATTCAAGTGTCTTAGTTGGGTGAAGGGCCAGAAATAGCACATTTCTTTTCCACCAGGGGCACAGTCTTTCACAGAGTCTGCAGAGTGACTTGTCTTTGTTCTGAGAAGCACAGGTAGTGGCTGCACGGTGATGGAGAGAATGCTCTGAAGCACTGTTACTGACCCCATGTCTTTCTTCCGTTGACCTTCTGCCAACACCCTGCCTCCAGCTAACTACCCTTGTGCCTGATGTTGGCTTGAACTTG